TTTAAGAGACCTGCTCCAGACAGAACATATAAAGTACAGACAAGAATATAAGTATATATATATATATATATAATATATAGATCTTAATAAAAATGTATCAGTGACTGTGAGTTTTGCAAACGTGTCATAAGAATATTTTATTAGTGTTAATGTTAACCTCACCAAGAATATTTAAATACACTGAACCATGTGTTCAGCTTTAATCGCTGTACTCCTAAGATTTACAGAGGAAAAAATCGTGAGAATGCGTTTAGTATTTAGCTATGACTGATTAAACGCGCAAATACTTAATTGGTCCCGTCAAACAGGTTACACTGAGTGGAGCGGTCGACCGTTCCAAGATGGCGGCCCTTCAGCGCGTCAGCGCCAATAGGCGATAGCGGTCAATGCTGTATCTAGTCATATATGATATCTATGATGATCTCTACGTTTATATCTATGAGAAAAACCTGTTTCCATTTCCGGCTCTTACTTCCGGGTTCTGTATGGAGTGTTTACAAGAAGCCTCCCTGTGATTGGCTGAAAACGTCCAATGGGTAGTTGACAGAAGTAAAGTCGCGTGCGTGCTTGTGTCCGCGCGTTTCCGACAGAAGTTCAGATTGTGTGTGCTAAAATGTTTGCTAAACTTTCTATTTCGTTATTTCTACTCGTTTTCTGCGCCGATCAATGCCTCGCTCAGAAGAAGAAAGAGGTAAACTCAACTTTAGGCAGCTTCAAACTCAGAAAACGACTCCATTTTTTTCTATGTCAAGTTTAGCTTATGTTTCTCAAAGTTAGTTTTCTGCTGTGTGTGTAGATGCTTCTAGATAACAGCGAAGTTGTTTTTATGGCAATAATAATGAAAATAACCGAAATTTGTGTTTTACGCAAGTTATTATTTTGGTGTTTATAAAACAGACTCCATTGAATCATGCAGTTCGTGTTTGTAGGTGAAACGGAAGTGTTATGGTCATTCTGAGAGAGAAATAACCTTTATTAAACCTCCAGGGGGATAGTCTCCATACGTAGGGGTTGAACGAGTATATAATTTTTAAACTCGACATTAACATAATAAAAACCGAGTAGAACTCGAGTATTTGATTAGATCTCAAGATACAAAAATAAATAAAACCGCAAAAAAACGTAATTATTTACAAAAAAAAGACCAACAAAACATTGGGAGCGTATATTATGCTCCTACCATTTATCATACTGCAAATAAGTCACAGGAAAAACTAAACTATTAGTTATTATTAAACTGCAAACGTGAAGAAACATGCAGCACGTCAAAAACGAAACTTAAACCGAAACTGGTTCTGTGGATTGGACCCAGTGTTACACCATACACTGTGACCTGCAACAGTGCAACACTGCCCCCTACGGTCATACGGTGGTCACATAATATGACGTCATTACGGATACTCAACGTAATATTTTTAACCTGATAGATGTCCTAGCAATCAATGTGTAGATTACTCAAGTACTCTGTTAATGCCCTACTCCGTAGATGTTCTAACTGTGTGTGTGTGTTCACAGACTCTGCTGTCAGAGAAGGTCACTCAGATGATGGACTGGGCCTCCAAGCGTTCAGTCATCAGGATGAACGGAGAGAAGTTTCGTAGATTAGTCAGAGCTCCTCCCAGGAACTACTCGGTGTTCATCATGTTCACAGCGCTGCAGCCACAGAGACAGTGCGGGGTTTGCAGGTCAGAATCTGATAAACCTGTTTTTTTGTCCAGTGGCGAACTGACGATAAGATCCGAGCCGTCAGCTTCTCCACATCAACACTGAGACTGGTTGATTGTCAGTTATTACACACATTCATCTTGATGAGACTTTGACTGATAAAATGGTAACAATCTGATAAACGCAAACATCTAAAACACCACAGAGTTTTAGACTGATTAAGTCATTTACATAATTAGTTAAGTCAGTTACAGTTAGAAAAAAAAAAGAAAAAAAACATAATTACATACTGGTAGTTACATAGTCAGTTACAGCTGGTTACATTGTTGCATAATTCAGAAACTAGCTCAACAGGAAGTGCTATCTCTTCTTTTTAAATCAGGGACAACAATATGGTGCCATTTTTACAGTAGCCTGCCCAGTAAACCAGAACAGCACAGTTCTGCTAATACGCTAATAGCGGAAATAATTCAGCTAATTTGCTAACATCTAACAGCAGAACTAATTCTGCTAATACGCTAACAGCTAATAGCGGAACTAATTTGTTGTTGGAAACCCGTTAGCAGAATTAGCTTCCACTACATAAGGTTTATCCAACTACAACAACAAAAGTTTGCTGACAAAATTCACAAGCTTGTTCCTGTCATTTGTGGGCGTGTCTCAAAGCATCCATTAGGTATGCTATTGGCTGATACCTGTGCACATGATAAGACTTGATTGGTCAATGCATCTTCACCTGAAAGGAAAACATATGACGCAGATTAACATTTGTCTTGAGTGGTTAGCGGTTTAGCATTAGCAACAATAATTTTTTTAGTTAGCGGAATATGGGTCATTGAAGCTAACTTTTTGATTAGCTGTGCCCACCTTTGAGAGTAGCTAACAACAACCTGAACATAAACTGGAAACACTAAACAACAACCAACAGGGACAACCCGTCTGAACACATAACCTGAAAAAGTCCACTCATTTTTGCCACAAATTACCCATAAGGCCCTGCAGCTCACTCAGTTTCTTGTGTTCAAGTATAACATGTAATCTCAATAATTTAGACCATGGGTGCCCAAAATGGGGCCCGCAGGCCAAAGTTGGCCCACCAATCTCTTTCAGTTGGCCCGGCAAACTGTCCTTATTACTATACTGTATTAAAATTTCCTTAGAAGAATCAATGTGCTTACACTCATTGACTCCACCCATTAACTTTATTGTTAGTCGGCCTGACTACCATAATTTAACTACATGGATTACACGGTAGAGTAGATAATTTATGTATTTTTTAATATAATTTTAATTTATATTTTCATATTTCATTTTGACAAGACTTTCTTCCATCCCTTGGCAATTTCTTGCCACTGAATAACATTTTCCTTTGACAGAACACACTTAAATCACAAAGTGTTTAAAAGTAAATTGTAAATATGAACTGGTTTTAGTGGTGATTTGAGCCTCTTTAAATTTAAACTCATCACCCCTGAAAAATAAAGAAATCATTAGGATTGTGTAAGGAAACTGTTCTCAAACCTGAATGCATCACAGATATTCACATGGTCAAAAAAACACTTTGCACAAATACACAATACACAAATGGGTATCTCTGCAGACAAGTAGGCGTTCCCAGTGGAAGGCATATCTCAAGGGCCACGCCTGATTGGATGAAGGTATCAGAAGACGGCACGCAGATTGTGTTTTTATTTAATTTTATTGAAAATTAAGGCACACAAAACTTCTGGTTGTTAACCAGTCATCAACATCAATAATACAAACGAAATGCCAGGGGGGGACATGAAACGTTGGTTACGTACTGTAACCCCAGATTCTATGAATATAGGCATAGCCCTTTAAGGCTGTCGCTTAGTGGGTTAAGGGCGAAGCAGATGTGGTCTTCGCCTCACTGGGTCCATTCGAACACCGTATGAAGCGGAAGCTTGCCCAAAAAACGTCTTGTCACTCAGCTCTCCATGTACGTGGTTACGCATTGCGTAATTATGTGTACCATGCACAGACGCATGATGTGTAAATATGCGTTCTGAATGCATAAACGCCCCGGAAAGTTTCAAAGGGGAGGGAAGATGCTGAAAAAAGGGCCATGAACCAACCGATTCACGGCTGAACAGTATGAACAGATTAATAATAACAAGTGAACTGATTATAATCAAATGAACTGATTAGTGACAATAGAACCAAAATAACAGTTACAACTTGTGACTGATAACAACATCTCACACTTTAATGCATGCAGACAGATGTGAGTTAAACGGAGTTCCGTGAAACAACAATATTCATTCTGTTAAAACACTAAGTACAGAATGTGTCATGGAACGAGCCGTCACATCACGTAGATAAAAGCGAATAAATGAGCAGGGTGATGACCACGCGGCCGCAGTGCAAATATCCTGCATTGTCATACCATTATGCAAAGCAGTCGAAGATGCGATACTTCTGGTCAAGTGTGCCCTGAGGTTGACAGGAGGCTCGAACTCTGATGCTCTGTAGGCTTCAGAAATGGCCTCACACAACCAGTGTGACAGGCGCCGGGTGGATAACGGACGACCTGCAGATGCATCCCTATAATGCACAAACAAATGTTGAGTTTGACGCATTGCAGCTGTGTGCGCTATGTAACACGTCAACGCCCGCACAGGACAGAGAAGATGGAAAGATGCTGCTTCTTCTGATTATGGGGGGGGGGGGGGGGGGGTGGATATCGCTCTTAAGAGCTCGTGATGTTTTAGGCATAAAGCTGGATTCAGTCTTAGATCAACTGAGCTGCCATCAGCCTGAATTTCAAGACATGACGGAGTGACAGAGACGGCAGAAAAATCACTCACTCTCTTAGCGGATGTAAAAGCCAACAGCAGGGCTGTTAAAAGAGACAGAATTTAATTGGAAACCTGATTCAGTAGCTCAGATGAAACTTAGATCAGGGCTCGCAGGATCAGCGTTAAGTCCCACTGTGGAGCAAGTGGGTGTAAAACAGGCCTGCATCTCTGTACACCTTGAAAAAAAGGCTTCATCAGCGGATGATTAAAAGCTGTTCTGTCTCTGAACCTTCGTGACAGGAAGAGATGGCTGCAGCGTACGTTTCAATCGTGCTGAACACCAAATTTCTGTCCATCAGTTGCTGCAGAAAAGACAGCACACCGCCTAGAGGACATGAAGTGGCATCTACACCTTCTCTGTACACCTTTAAAAAAAAATGCTACATCAGTGGATGATTAAAAGCTGTTCTGTCCCCGAAAACTTTGTGACAGGAAGAGATGGCTACAGCATATGTTTACTCGTGCTGAACGCCAGTTCTATTTCGTATAGGCTTTGCCCTTTAAGGCTGTCGCTGATGAGTTTATCCCGATATGCGAAGCATTGCATTGAAAAATTTAGTCCATGCCCACCTGCTGTGTGGGCCCCACCTGGTCCGTATAAATTACGTTAAAAGCGGGAAATCGGCTCACATTTTTTCTTCAGCGAGCTAATAGCACTGTCAGAAGAACGAAGAAGGAAAGTTGTGTAGATGACCAACCTTTGTTAAGAATGCTTGGCCCGTCACGTCGACCTCCGGTCGTCCCGGTGAGCTCTCCTCCCCGAGGAGAAGCTGACGAGCAGTCTTGTTTCAAGGTAAGCGCCGAGGAGTATTTCTCAGTGACAGGTCACTACACGCTGAACAACGCCATCTTGTAATTTTCCTCTTATCGCCGACCCTTGGAGCAAATTGGATGGTTCCTCCGGGACAGGCGGCGTTAAGCTGCAGCCCCGCTTCTCATTCCCTCCTGGAGAGCGTAATGTCGGTGGAGGGGGGCTGAGCGAATGCTCACCTCATCCCACCTCGTTTCGCATCGGCGATCACACTGCTCCTGGCCGACGGCGCCCTCTGGGGTTGACCGGCGTAATCCAGGAGGCTGCTGACATTAAGGGACCCTTTTTTACGTCCCGCGCCTTTCCCGCCAGTTCGGATGATCCGGCGGGAAGGTTTTTTTCTAGGCTCCATTCCGGCTCGCCGTCCTGATCCCATATGGCCTCGGTTTCCCAACAGGACGTCCTACGAAGACGAGGCCACAGCCGGCTTTCCTGGTACAAACCGGATTCCATACAAGTTGGGACACTAAACAAATTGTGAATAAAAACTGAATGCAAGGATGTGGAGATGGCAAATGTCAATATTTTATTCGTAATATAACACAGATGACAGATCAAACATTTAATCTGAGTAAATGTAACATTTTAAAGGAAAAATATGTTGATTCAAAATTTCACAGTGTCAACAAATCCCAAAAAAGTTGGGACAAGTAGCAAAAAGTGGCTGGAAAAAGTAAATTGAGCACATAACAAACAGCTGGAAGACCAATCAACACTAATTAGGTCAACTGACAACATGTTTGGGTAAAAAAGAGCTTCTCAGAGTGTCAGTGTCTCTCAGAAGCCAAGATGGTAAGAGAATCACCAATTCCACCATTGTTGCACAGAAAGATAGTGCAACACAACCAGAATGGTGTTACACAGCATAAAATAGCAAATACTTTTTAGTTATCATCATCAACCAAGTATAACATCATCAAAAGATTCAGAGAATCTGGAACAATTGCTGTGCGTAAGGGTCAAGGCCGTAAAACTCTACTGGATGCTCGTGATCTCCGGGCCCTTAAACGTCACTGCACCTCAAACAGGAATGCCACTGTCAAGGAAACAACAGAATGGGCTCAGGAATACTTCCAGAAAGCATTGTCAGTGAACACAATCCACCGTGCCATCCGCCGTTGCCAGCTGAAACTCTACAGTGCAAAGAGGAAGCCATTTCTATGCAAGTTCCACAAGCTCAGACGTTTGCAATGGGCCAGGGGTCATTTAAAATGGAGTGTGGCAAAATGGAAGACTGTTCTGTGGTCAGATGTGTCACGATTTGAAGTTCTTTATGGAACACTGGGACGCCATGTCATCCGGACCAGAGAGGACAAGGATAACCCAAGTTGTTATCAATGCTCCGTTCAGAAGCCTGCATCACTGATGGTATGGGGTTGCATGAGCGCTT